GTGGCACAGGCTGTGTGGGACGCCATGGGTGGCTTGATGGAGTCATTAATTTGGTCTTCCCCGACAGTCCTCATGATATGCCGCACGGATGGATGGCTTGTGGATGTGGGGCATAAGTGCCTGACATGTCCGAGTTTCTGAAGTGCATTGGGTCTATTGTGTCAGGTAGGCATGGCTGAATGAGGGTGCTTATTCCGCTACAGAGGTTTTGTCATGTTCAAGCTGAGAGTGACAGGCTGAAGTGAAGTACAGCTGGGCTTATAATAAGATAATGAGAATATGAGGATCGGGGGTAGTGTCACATACATAATAGTATCCAGACGAGTCTGTCTGAGAAGCGACGATCCCTTTCATAGTTTAGCCAGAGGGCTTTTGGCCCAACATTCGTCGGACTTTTCCACTTCATATTGGATGGCGGAGTAAGGAAACAAAGCTTGTCCAAGAAAATATGAGCTGTTTACCATGATCCTCTCGAAGATTTCACCCCACGTCTGATATGCCTAAGAAGGCCTTGACATTGGCAAATATAATCGGTGGCAGGTCTTGTAGTCGACATCAGTTCTTGCTCCTACTCGGTGCTGTCAGGATAATTGAAAGTTGAAATCTCATTTCGCATTCAATGCAAACAGAGGAACAAGGCGGACGTTATCTTATTAGGCCGCGTGATCTTACATGTTTAAAGTAAGTTCCAAGCTCAAAATTAGGTTCAGCATGTATCGTATCCTCTATTGTGTGCCCTGCTGGCTATTGTTTCAACTGTTCCACATTTCAATTATGATCGTGCGTTTGTGCGTGTTTCTGCGTAGCCAGATACCAGCTCCTACTGCTGCGTTCACACGTTTCCTGGTGCTACGCGAAGCCGCAAGGAGATCACGTATCCAAAGGTCCCGAAAAGGTACTTGAAGGTGCACCTAGCTATTGTTTTTGTGTATGATCGTCGATTTTCTAACACTACTACGTAGCACATTTACATACATGTACATGTACATGTACTCAATCTGCGGACAGCGTACATGTACATTGTACATGTACGTCGTATACTTTTACTCTACGTGGCAGCAGTCCTGTACAAGAGTGGTGATAGTATACTATATTCATGGTTTAGCAGAACTTTAGATCTAAAAGTATAAATGTACATGTAGATCATTTCTTGAAGTACATGCAAGTGGACCCAAACACTTCTTGATCCCATGCCGGTCAGACACCTTTACATTTGCTTCAAAGACAATACAAGCTGGAAGAGTACGGATAGGAACAATGCAATAATCTACATGTTCATGTACAGTACGTACGTTGTACATTGGCGGGGGGGGGGGGGGGGGGGGAGGAGAGGGGAGGAGAAGATTGACGGACATAAGATGTCCGTGGGATATGTCAAGTGGACGTGGAAATGTAACACGTCATCAAAAATAGTATAATTATTAAAGCGATTGACTGAAGTTTTACTCGACTTGAATATCCGGAGAGTCGTCCTGTTATGTAAACCTTTACCTTGTAAAATTCGCACATACATGTACAATCATGTACATGTACATGTGCGCGTGTGTGTCACACTCCTGTAGCTGTGTCGTATCACTGCCGTCAGTACTAAGTAGTAACAATAAAATAGAACTATTTTAAATAGTATTATACAAGTCATGTTGTCAACTCATGCATGGTCCTTACCTGGTCTATGGCCAGAATTACAGAGGACGACGTGCACACAAGAGATTTTCACCCTGGCCTGTTGATGTGACGTGCGTCCACGTATTAGTTCAGTGGCCGGTGAAGGTCACCATTGTATTGGCATTACGAGAATGAACTTATACCATGTGCATGTATGGCATATTCTCAAAATTTAATGCATTATACTAGTGAAAGTGGTCATTGACTTGTCAGTTCCTTCTCATGGGCCATGGCTGCGCTGGTCGTGTACAGTAAGTGGCACGTGACAAACTCTCCGACCAGTAGCACTGGAGTAGGTTGTTTAGGTCCCGGACTGAACTGTACAAAGAGTCTTTCACAAGCCAACCATTGCTTGGCATTAGGGAACACAATGTAGCGTGTGGGGTACCGGTGTGTGCCCGCACTCAGCTCGAGCCCAGAACGAAACAGCAGTTAGAATGTGGCCGGAATGGGTAATGGAAACGGAAACATAACGACCATCAAGTGGTTTTCTTTCCTCTGACTGAAGGTTTCTTGTACGATCATCTTCGTACATCTCTTTCTAGCCCACTTGCTTCATTTTACGTGCATGGTATGCCTACACGCATGCATGTACACTACTCACTAGGATGGTCACCGCTTTCACGACAAGACTGTTGGATGTACAATTGTACATGTAATGCTTCTGAGCTGGAATACCATACAGTATACAGTATACAGTATTCGGTCTCGACCAGCCATGAATATTATGCAGTTCCTGTCGTGCTCATATCGTGTTCACCTCGTGGCTCGCAAAGCGCCAGGAGTATGCGCGAGGCGCTTTCACGTCGTCCACTATAACTTTACTTGGTCTGGTCAACATCATGTGAGTGCTGATCACCAGCGAACGAAGTGTGGAGACTTGTTTCCTTTCTTCTGCAAGGATGCAGACAACATTGCCTGTAGGTTTCACGATCGCGAGGACTTCGGCTCGTAGGCCGGTCGTTCAACGGTCATGCATGTAGTGCGTAGTCGCATTCCATTTCAGTGCATTACAACGGAGGAAACAACATCGTGAGGCGTCGTTAATTAAGTGACTGCGCCGGTATGATCGATGCAATGTTTATGAATATGAATGCAAAATGGTAGAGGAGACTAAATACATGTACACATGAAAAGCGACCTAATCAATTGGATTGGAAGAATAAAATAGTTCTACCGTTGATGGAGTCACTGATAACAAAAATCGAGTTTATTGGTAAAGCGACCAATGGGTGTTATCCGAGCTTTTCTGGTGAAATATCACTAAGCTCTGACCGAAGCGCCGAATGCCACCTGCCTGGTGCGGGGGCGTCTTCAAGAGTACATTATACTCAGGACGGTAGGAATTCTGGAATCTATACAAGTTGTTAGTGCAACTCTCTTTCATGCCTACGGGCATATAATGGAACTCCCTCACAACGAGTAACGGTAATGGAGCCTGGGTCACCGCATGTGTACTGTGGTCGAAGCATCTGGAACGCGCCTGTAAAAGGCAGTCCAGAGCGAGGAGGTTGTCCACATTTCTCCTGTACTCTCTAAGCCTTTGAAATCGTCTCCACTGTGGGTTATTAGAAACTTAACCATGATCATCACTAGCCTCTTCATGAGAAAGAAATGGAGGGGGGTAAGAATGCACTGTTCCTACGTAAAATGGAGAGGATATCTTCAAAGAGAAATGGTCAAAGCTGACAGGTCAGTGAGAGGCGTGTGTATGATCCGATGCCATCAGGTTTGGAAATGGCGCGTGCACGCCAGGAGTGCGGTGGGTCGATGCGAATATTATGGACGCCATGTCCTGCTCGCAGACCAAGCGATAAATACCTGTACAGACAACAGTATTTGTAGTCTGAACTTAAGTGTGAGGCTGGGGATCGTGCGAAGAAAGTAAGTTAAACGTGGGATGATGGATATGATGAATGTATGTTCTACAACAGGCTTTACTTAGTTTAATTGCATTTCTGCTAGCAGCTGATTTCATTATTTTGGAAACGTTTTCCATGCTGACACGACCGAGGAATGTGCCTCGGCGTGATGTTACGCAGTGCTTTCAATGCTGCCAGGTTGAAATGACTGATTTCTAAATCTATCCAGTCGTTGGCGGTACTATAACGGTTATTTACTTGTGCACACTCGACAGAGTATACAAGAGTAGTCACAGGAATGGGTAGTGTAGCGTGAACGAATATGAGTTTATCACACGCTTACGCCAGCAATGATCTGTCCCATTTTCACCATGATAAGAAGGTACACAGCGGCCCCACAGCGCCACATGAAGTTGTATGTTTGTGTGCGGCGAGCAACGGAAATCCGCGCTGTGTTTCAGTTTCGGCAACCGACTTCCACTGCTCTCAGGAGAAAATTATAAATATCATGGGCGAGTGCAAACGTGCGCGGCACTCTCCTGGACGGCTCCATACAGAGCGAGAAAAGGGCGGAAATCTGCGCTGGCGAGTACGACATTGTGTGAAGCTAGGGAGTGTAAGACCTGGGTTTGCTCCTTACCACTAAATTGCATTCCTATTGCAAAGTAATGGATAAATCAAAGAGCCTGATGCCGCTGTAGCGCATAACGACAAAGACAAAGGCTTGCATAACAACAGCCACTGCAGCACAGCCTGAACGAATGGGCTGCGACTACTTGTGCCATCATCTACTTGATTTCGTCACATTGTGAAAGAAGGGCTTTAGCAGTACGTATTCTGGGGCTGGCCTGCGAGCTGTAGCACTTCATCAGTGCAGCATCACTCAGTGCAGTGAAGATGGATAGCCGCACCACAGTCACAGGTGCGCCAGCCACATTCCATTCAGGCACGACTTTTGCCATGAAGATCACAAGCCAAGTACGAGTGGTGAAGATATTGCACTGTTGCTTCCCCAGCACAAAGACTACTTGCAGAACAGTTACTGCGTGATAGAGCCTAGAAGTCAAGCTGGGGCACTTACGCCACTACGCCAAGCGTGGTAGATCAGCCGAGACCTTGGGGCACCGCGTAAGACATCTCTCACAAGCATACACTGTCCGCACTCCCTCTTAGTACTTACTCTTAGTCCTAGTCCAAGAGTCTGACTCTTAGCCTACTCGTACCGGCGAAGCATGGCTATAACAGTATGACTATGAGGATACTCAGTACCTGCGCGTATTCCATTCATACCATCTGCCGGCTCCGGTGGTAAATCGAACCCATGCGAACCCATTTCCAATACCGACTTTTGCAAAACGCGCCAAGGAGACATTTTCAGTTGGATAACTGCACCCACCGTTCATATCTTGCCGGGGCAAGGACATGACTACATGAAAAACCCTTGTTGATTGGATTCTCCACAGTTGAGATTGTCCGTTTATCATAATCTTGACTTTCAACCAGACACACTGTTAACACCCCTGGCGTTACAGGTAGAATCATTTTGTGTCTCCAGTAAAGAATCCGCGGAGCAGTCCTTGTGGGACTGGGGCGCGAAGTAAGTTCCTCCTCCGAACCCCTGCTTATTGGTCGCTGATTAGCCACCTGACCTGATGCGAACTAAAATATTTTTTAGTTGTTCTTCCTTGCGCGCGTTTCGCGCGCACGGTTGATCTCCATCGAACATGATTGTGAAACATGGAGGACGAATAAAGTGTACACTGAGGGTACACACAAGAAAACGAATGTGCACAAACACTTCCTGATAGACGATGTACGATTTGTTCTCTATTTTCCTGTGCGTGTTTTTTGATCTGCTGCAGTGCGATATGACAAGTGCGAATACGCCAGGCAGTGCATCATCAGTTTTCAAAGGCTTGGAATTGGCAACGGCGGTAACAGCGACTGTGAGCCACAGAAACAGCAGCAGCAGCAGCAACAGGGTTACAAGTGCACAGGTCTCGCCGTCAGCGGACAACAACGCTACTGTGATGTCCCCAGCTGCAGCGTTTCAGTCAAATAATCAGCGTGCGACAGGCTACAGCATGGGAAAGATCGAGACAGAAGATAAGACCACCCTCTTTCGACCCTGGGACGAGAAGGTCGCAACAAAAGCGACGATAGCACCGAAGAAAAATCCCGCTGAACGGCGTCGTCGCAGTTCGAGCAAAGACAGCAAAGAAGTAACCCAGCAGCGCTCCCACAACCACAGCGATGAAGTACACAGCATCCTCTACAAGTGGCTTCGCGACAACCTTGTTGTAAGATGACGATCAACTCTCCAGACACATTTTCTTTTCTTCTATTATCAACTTCGTAGCCTCTGTGTGATATCGGCTAATAGAGAGATCCTTCCAGGGGACTCTAAACCACCATTTCCGGAGCCCGCCGAGGTTGTTTGCAGAACAATTGGGGAACTTATAATAGGATGAAAGGCCAAGTGAACTAGTCTGTAGTTTCAATTGTCAATGAACAAGGCAACACACTAGCCATCTTGTAACTTTCGAAAGTCTATCTGTCACATCAACTAACCAGAATTTCCGAGAAACAGATTTTCCCGTATGCATCTTTCCCCCAAACCAATGAACAGATGAAAGTGGTAGCTAAAGGCTTTCCTCATTCACACCCGAAGGAAAAATGGAGAGCTTCAATGCTTGACAATCCTTTTCCTGTCCTGATCTGACCTGCAGACAATGAATCCATGATATGCAGAAACACTACTCTGCGTATTCTGAGACTAAACCAACCTGCACTCTTTTCCGCACCATCCTTTACGCTTTTATTCCCCAGTGAGTCCATTGCTATTAGGCCTTACGCCTGTTTTGATTTCCATTTTAACAAAGTATACAACAACAAAAACATTGCGTTTGGATTTGTTTCTCCAGAAACCCTATCCAACCATTGCAGAAAAGAAGCGACTGGCTGCCAAGACAAAGCTCCGATATCGACAGGTTTCTTACTGGTAGGGAATGGCATACTTGGCTTCTTGTGTACTGAGTTCCACGTGTCTGCAAGCAGATCCTACTAGGCTAGCATTATCATCATCTCCTTGCATTGTGTATTGCTAGGAAACCCCAAACAATCTTGTTGTGAAAGGGCTTTCATGTCAAAACAATTGTCTAAATTGCACCTATTGTCGTTGTGATGATTGGCAACTCTTTGGCTACTTTGCCATTGTGTTGGTCGCTAACGTTGACAAAAACACAGGCACAGACACAAATGCTCTCTCCCTTCTCTCTCTCTCTCTCTCTCTCTCTCTCTCTCTCTCTCTCTCTCTCTCTCTCTCTCTCTCTCTCTCTCTCTCTCTCTCTCTCTCTCTCTCTCTCTCTCTCTCCCCCCCTCTCCCTATGTCTGCCTCTCTGTATGTCTCTCTCTCTCTCTCTCTCTCTCTCTCTCTCTCTCTCTCTCCCCCCCTCTCCCTATGTCTGCCTCTCTGTATGTCTCTCTCTCTCTCTCTCTCTCTCTCTCTCTCTCTCTCTCTCTCACACACACACACACACACACACACACACACACACACACACACACACACACACACACACACACACACACGCAAACACATACACCCAGAATATGTACTCTTTTAAACGCTCAGGAAGAAGCAATTTGCTGCTGTCAGGTCACATCCTGTACATCGTGAGTTTCAAATTCTGCAATGTAATCGACTGACCGTGATTATTCTGCTGGACGGTTTGTGTGAATTGTGACAGGTACACTAATGCCCGACGTCGTCTGGTGCCGAAAATGATTGAAGCAGAGAACAAGCGTAGAGCCGCCTGTGACCAACCGCCACTGAAGGTCGAAGCATTTACGATGAGCAACTGCACATCTTCGTCACCATGCTCCTCAGAGGAATCCGCTGATGCTAAGACCGACTATACTTTTGCATCACCCACTGATATCCCCATGGAGACGGAGAATTCTCTCGCACCCAGATCTCTCATGCTCCCATCCCCTTGCAGTATTTCAGACAAAAGCACGAGCACAAGGAGTAGTTCACTGCCTGCCATTGCCTTCAGTCCGGTGGGAGCAATCAGTGCGTTGAGAGGAGCATTGCCACATGCACAGCCCATTGCGTGGACAGGCGACAGGGCAGCTGAGCCCGCCAGTTCTCCCAGCCACAAGTCAACATCAGCTGCTGCTGCCTGTCATCCCTCCTCTTCTTGCCATTTGGAATCATCAGCAACAGCACGCATTTCCAAAGGTCAGTCAGGTGAAACATTTCTAAATTCCTTTTTTTACTGGGAATTTACACTAACAGCTTCAAAAGCCACCAGTCAAGGAAGTTATTATACTATGCAATTACCCACCTTGCTATGGATGGCCGTAAAGACAAGCAAGGTCTAGTAGTAGTAGTAATAGTTTTTATTGTTTATTGAACTCCCAACAGACCGAGCCTTTTTATGGCCAACCCGGCTAGGAAGTCCCAGGAACGAGTCCTGTCGGGGTTGGACCACGTCTTTCGTTTTCTAACAGTTCACTTCCCTGATTGTTTACTTTGAACTTGAAGTTTCTTCCATGCCCGTTACCGTAATAATGTACATTCTGTAATTATTATGGTATGGGATGGATGGCAAAAGAGCAGTGAGTTGCATTTCACCAGTTTTTGCAGACCAGGCTAACTAGCCATGGGTGGACACTACGCCAGGCAGTTGCACGATAAGTCCATAGCTGAGTCATGAGATTTCAACGACAATTTCCTTGACCAGAATGGCTCTCTTTGGTGTCGGAGAACGTGCAAACAGCTGTAGTTTTTTCTTTTGCTTGTTTTTTTGGGCTTTACCACAGTCATAACTACATGCATTATTGGTCAAAAGCTGGCGATGTTCAGGAGAATTGAGACCACAAATTTACACTCCAATGATTACCTGACTGACTTACTATAGTATTTGACTGCAATTAAAGTGAAACTAGGCAGCCATCAAAGAAGCGTTTTCCGAATGCTTTTCATCATGGCACTATGTTAGGATCAGTAGGAAAAGAGCTGCGGTGATGTAATGCTTAGCAGTATGACGTCGCCGCATCAGTAGATCTCCATTGTGTTCACTGAGGGAAAAGGGAATTGAATGTTCTTTGATACAAACTATTTACTTGGCATCAGTATGTTCATGTCCCAGTACAGACAGTACAGACAGTGCAGCTTGTAGTAGAGTTGTACTTGGTGATCCAACACACAAGCATGAGAATAACTCATCCAGAGGAGCTGAGCAGTGAAGAGGCATGCGCTGGTCTAAACAAGACATTTCACCAGAACTCTGACGAATCCTCAAATCCAGATAATGGTGTACTAGCTGTGCTAGTACTTGTTAGCAACAATCCGAACCAGGGAGTCGTAAAAGCCCGGGAGAGGACACGGCACACATTCCCAGAAAACATCTTTGCCTCGCGCTGCCGGGGAACGCTGCCAGGGAACGGTGTTGCGAGGCAAGGAAATTATTATTTTCGAAAATTGTGATGTCTTCTTGAAATACTAATTGGGACATTCTCCGATTTCTCTTAGAGCACGGAGACGATTGCTCCGTCGAGTCTTCTGATCTCTATTTTCATCCTCATCTTCCAGCTGCCTCACTCATTCTCTCTCAGTTTATCGAAGTTAATTTATTCTGAGGCGATGGAAATGCAAGACAAATCCCTAATTGTACTTCACTTTTATTTGAGTTGGGGTGAACGAAATGAGATTTGTGGAAAATGACGCCACTTCCCGTGTTAGCCGCTGGTCGTATCATACAGCCCATATTCCATTGCAGGTGATGGGCCAACGTTCGTGTTGAGATCCGCTGAGTTTCCTCGTACTCGTGGAGTTGAATTTGTGGCAGAAATTGCACTGAATTGCAGTCAAATGGTTGTGAATGAAACGAGATTTGTGGAAAATGACGCCACTTCCCGTGTTAGCCGCTGGTCGTAGCATACAGCCCATATTCCATTGCAGGTGATGGGCCAACGTTCGTGTTGAGATCCGCTGAGTTTCCTCGTACTCGTGGAGTTGAATTTGTGGCAGAAATTGCACTGAATTGCAGTCAAATGGTTGTGAATGAAACGAGATTTGTGGAAAATGACGCCACTTCCCGTGTTAGCCGCTGGTCGTAGCATACAGCCCATATTCCATTGCAGGTGATGGGCCAACGTTCGTGTTGAGATCCGCTGAGCTTCCTTGTACTCGTGGAGTTGAATTTGCGGCAGAAATTGCACTGAATTGCAGTCAAATGGTTGTGAATGAAGCGAGATTTGTGGAAAATGACGCCACTTCCCGTGTTAACCACTGGTCGTATCATACAGCCCATATTCCATTGCAGGTGATGGGCGAAAGTTCTTGTGGAGATCCGCTGAGCTTCCTCGGCGTACTCGTGGATTTATGAATTTGTGTCAGAAATTGCAGTCGAGTGGACTTCTGTGCGTGTGTTGTGAGTAAATCGCGACGGCTCCCTTCCTTCAGCATCGTCAAAACGCAACATAGAGCATTATTACGCACTCGTTCCATGATTCATGATAATGCCTGGATTCTTTTAAAAACAATCAATGTGTGTTCCCTATCTATCTACATTGTACATGGTTGCAGGTCGTTATTTATAAATCTTGATAATTTCAACACTTTTCTACTCGTATACTGAGTACGCGGTGACTTGAGCCGTTTAGGAAACGGAAGTCTTGGCGAGTGTACAAAAGGTAAACCTATCATTTGTACTTCATAACGGAATTGTGCACAAAAATGCACACACACGTTCGCGTGCACACACACAAGCACACACACAAACACTGTACAAACACACACAAAAGTACAAGCACATGTGCACATACACACGCCTCCCCCCCCCCCCCCCCACACACACACACACACTCAACTCCCCACCCCTGTACTGAGTCTGACAGACATACAATCATGTTTATCCTTCCTTCGCCACCAGTTTCGGATAATGGTGTCAACAACGAGTTGTAAAATATTGGTATTTTAGGACTCCCTGCCCTGAAGACAAGCACAGCGCCGTGGATCGAGCAGATCCGGCCGCGCCGGCCTAGCGTGCTTCACTTTCTGGCCGAGGCAAACATCGTCCGCGTGCGCGCATCCCGTGTCCTCTCCCGGGCTTTTACGACTCCCTGATCCGAACTAGCGCACACACTGCACTGCATTGCTTTGTACTGCATTCAAGACTGACGTCATGCGCTTTGTTTTGCTGCGTAATCACAAATGGCACCAGCCCATTTTTGCGGAAAAGAAAAACAAATCTTGCTTGCCCTGTTGTGCTCTTCCAGACAACGGATCGTGCTTCAGCAGTGTTTCTTTTCCTTTCGTAGCTTTGCTGCCAGCCCGAGTGTCACCTCGACACTGTATTTCTTCAGTATGTCTGACCTTACTGTCGACACTGTCAAGGCAATGCCTTGCCAAGCCCTCCGCGGCGAGCCTTCTCAGCGCGGCTTGAATCCGAAAGGAAACTTAGTAAAAGTATTTTACAGGACCGTTTGCTGGCACAACTAGCCCTTGGTAGTGAGGTCTGCTCCGGCCAGGAGAACCAGCAACATGACAGTGCGGACACGGCTCGCGAGCCCAGAAGCCCGACGTGCACCAATGCCTCCTCCGCCAGCTCAGGTGACGCGGGCTCAACGGATCTCTGCGCTCCCGTACGGGACGAGGTGTAGTCGGCTTTGTCGGCCGCCATTTTATTATTATCGGAGAGCATTGCGCCGCTCCTCACCCAAGGCCAAGGCAATGCGTCAGCTGCCGCCACTACGCCAGGCCAAGCTCCTGTAATCCACCCGATCAGCCACCTGCACCAGCTGTGCCCAAGGCTGTGCAAGAACGTATCTTGCGAGGGGAGTTCGTAGATTTTTCAAGTTTGTTGCCTGAAATTCTTGCACACTTCCGGCCCAACATTCCGGCTGGTGCACAGCCCGAATAACGATAGCCAGCTAAATATCGTTGAGTCGGATGACGCGAAGCAGGTGCGTCGCAAGGTTCACGATAATTACACATGTAGCTACCCTGCTCGAGGCATGGACCACATACATGTCTGTTATCATGGCTGCTGCCCTACACCGCACTGCTGAACTGATTGCGTACCAGCAGTTGATCCTGACTGCTAACTGCCAGTTCTTCCCAAGCGCGTGGCTAGAGTACGACCGCCAGCTGCGGATGCTCGTGGCCCATTAACCAGGCACGAAGAGGTTGGACACCATCGACGTGAACCTATGGCAGATAGCTGTCACAGGCCATGCACACCCAAAATGCGCTCAATGTAAGACGGTCCATCCAGGGGCGGTTTGTGTCCTTTTCGTCCCGAAGCCAGCAGCATTTACCTCCAGTGGTCGCAACCATACCAGCGACGGCCAAGAAATCTGCCGCAACTTCAATGGAGGTCGCTGTTCTTCGTCGTCGTGCCGCTTCTCCCACACCTGCAGCCAGTGTGGCAAGGACCACCCATGCATCATGTGCAACCAGCAGCAGCGCGGAGCCAATCGGCCACCCCGCCGCTCCTAGCAGAATGGCTACTGAATCGCTTGACTCGGTACGTAGCTTCTTTCCTATACACTCTGCAGACACCACACTGCTAGCTGACCACTTTGCCCGCCTGTTACGTAACCACTCAGATCAATCATGTGTTGCGTATGTTCTCCATGGCCTGCGCCGTGGCTTTACTCTTGGATCTGCCGGCCAACACGACATTTCGGTTTTCTCTAATAATCTACCATTGGCTTTCACTCACTCGGCATTTATATTCGAGCAATTAGCTGCTTCCTGCGCCCGCAGCGAGACCACAGGCCCATTTCCGTCACCTCCATTTCAGTTCATGCGCCGCTCTGGTATTGGTGCCATCCCCAAAAAGAACGGCAAGCCGCGAATGATCCACCATCTGTCTAGTCCGGAAGGCACCGGCGCGAACGACAGCATTCCTGCCGAGCCGCTCTCTCTGCACTACGCGAGCATTGACAACGCGATCAACATCATCATGTCATGCCCACAGCCTGTGTATTTGTCCAAGCTCGATGTACGCAGTGCATTTCGGCAGATCCCAGTCCGCCGCCAGGACTTCGCTGGGAAGGCTCCTACTACTACGAGCGCTTTCTGCCTTTCGGCCTCCGCTCCAGCCCAGCCGTCTTTGACTCAGTAGCCACAGCAGTCAACTGGATCATGCAGCACGAGTTTGCTATAGATCACCGGCTTCACTACCTCGATGACTTTCTCGATATCTCCACTGGTTTTGCTGCAGCCAACCAGCAACTCACCATCTCCCCTCCGGGCGTTCACGTATCTCGGCACTCCTCTTTGCTCCATCCCAGCTCGAAGGGCCATCACCATCATTGACCTTCCTTGGTATTGTCCTAGACTGCGAGCGCCACGAAGCTCGGCTACCAGAGGACAAGCTGTCCGAGATCCGTGCGCCACTCATGGCTACTATCAGCGAGCGCAGCATCGGCCAGCGTCAACTCGAGTCCCTCCTGGGGAAGCTCACTTTTGCTGCCCGAGTCATCGTTCCTGGACACACATTCATGCGTGAACTATGATCAGCGTGCCCTGAACTGTATCTGTGTATGCGAGGGCGGTGCATAAAGCCCACCTTGAGAATGGGTTTGCCGGCCCCTTAGTAGATGCGTGGCTTCTGAAGAGGGTGTTGAAGGGCATCCAGCGATGCCATGGTACGGCTGGACTCACCCCTCGCCTTCCTATAACTATGCCAATCCTACGACACCTGACGGATGCACGCCGGAAAAGTAGTATCCTGAATGGCCATGACAAGCTGCTCTACCAAGCCGCCATGCTGCTTCTTTGGATTTCTTCGGTGCGCGGAATTCACTAATGGCATCACACGGGGCTGTACTAGCTCCCCTGGTGACGGACGCCTGCAACTCTTCCTGCTTTCATCCAAGACGGACCCATTCGGTAAAGGCGTTACTAGTGACATTGGCCCGTCTGTACCGCCGTACTGCCCGGTCCGTGCCATTGTTAGCTACCCATCTGTCACTCGTCGCGAGGGACCGGAGCAACTCTTGTTCGTACTCTCGAACAGACAGCAGCTGACCAGGCAGTCATTCACAGTAACAGTATGGTCTCTTGGCGCTGCGGCCGGTGTACCATCCCAGTCGAACTACTCCGGGCATTCGGTCCACATTGGTGCAGCCACCACCGCTGCTATGGCTAGTGCCCCCGACTCCTTCTTCCGAGTGGCAGGTCAGTGGAAAGAGCGATGCGTGTCTACGCTACATCCAGACTACAACAAGCGCATAGCGCCAGCTATCGTCCCGGCTTGCTGCCGTGCCATGGATGCCATGATCCCCAACTCGGGTGAGTAATGAGCTACTGAACTCTAGCTGCGCAATGCTTGCCTGTGCTGACATTAATTGACCCTTGCTGTGCGTCAATAGTGCTTAGCTAACGGAGTGCTGGTTTCATGGGTCCACTCTCACAACTGGTGTTATCTAGCTATTTGCTGCGGCTCTGCCTTGCGCTATATTACATCCATTTAGCATTGCAGCTCTACGTTGAGCTAACAGCAGCTCTACTTTGAGCTAACAGCAGCTCTACTTTGAGCTAACAGCAGCTCTACTTTGAGCTAACCGCAGCTCTACTTTGAGCTAACCGCAGCTCTACTTTGAGCTAACAGCAGCTCTACTTTGAGCTAACCGCAGCTCTACTTTGAGCTAACCGCAGCTCTACTTTGAGCTAACAGCAGCTCTACTTTGAGCTAACAGCAGCTCTACCTTGAGCTAACAGCAGCTCTACTTTGAGCTAACAGCAGCTCTACTTTGAGCTAACAGCAGCTCTACTTTGAGCTAACAGCAGCTCTACTTTGAGCTAATCGCAGCTCTACTTTGAGCTAACAGCAGCTCTACTTTGAGCTAACCGCAGCTCTACTTTGAGCTAACCGCAGCTCTACTTTGAGCTAACAGCAGCTCTACTTTGAGCTAACAGCAGCTCTGCTCTGAGCTAACAGCAGCTCTGCTCTGAGCTAACACCAGCTCTACTTTGAGCTTCAAACCAGTTGTTTCGAAACCAGCACTCCTCAATCCAAAGATGCCTCTTTGTTGACTTGTTTGTGTGAGGGATGGGGCTAATGGTGTACTAGCTGTGCTAGTACTTGTTAGCAACAATCCGAACTAGCGCACACACTGCACTGCATTGCTTTGTACTGCATTCAAGACTGACGTCATGCGCTTTGTTTTGCTGCGTAATCACAAATGGCACCAGCCCATTTTTGCGGAAAAGAAAAACAAATCTTGCTTGCCCTGTTGTGCTCTTCCAGACAACGGATCGTGCTTCAGCAGTGTTTCTTTTCCCACCATCCCTCCCTATCCAACTTATTCACACCATCATAATATTATCGTACCCACTAACCGGGTCCACTCTCACAACTGGTGTTATCTAGCTATTTGCTGCGGCTCTGCCTTGCGCTATATTACATCCATTTAGCATTGCAGCTCTACGTTGAGCTAACAGCAGCTCTACTTTGAGCTAACAGCAGCTCTACTTTGAGCTAACAGCAGCTCTACTTTGAGCTAACCGCAGCTCTACTTTGAGCTAACCGCAGCTCTACTTTGAGCTAACAGCAGCTCTACTTTGAGCTAACCGCAGCTCTACTTTGAGCTAACCGCAGCTCTACTTTGAGCTAACAGCAGCTCTACTTTGAGCTAACAGCAGCTCTACCTTGAGCTAACAGCAGCTCTACTTTGAGCTAACAGCAGCTCTACTTTGAGCTAACAGCAGCTCTACTTTGAGCTAACAGCAGCTCTACTTTGAGCTAATCGCAGCTCTACTTTGAGCTAACAGCAGCTCTACTTTGAGCTAACCGCAGCTCTACTTTGAGCTAACCGCAGCTCTACTTTGAGCTAACAGCAGCTCTACTTTGAGCTAACAGCAGCTCTGCTCTGAGCTAACAGCAGCTCTGCTCTGAGCTAACACCAGCTCTACTTTGAGCTTCAAACCAGTTGTTTCGAAACCAGCACTCCTCAATCCAAAGATGCCTCTTTGTTGACTTGTTTGTGTGAGGGATGGGGCTAATGACTGAGTACTCGACTTGTGCTCGTTTCACAATCGTATAAAAAGTGTGACAGATCTCTACTGTCTCACCTGCATTGTGTGCCATGATTGTATGCATTGGATACATGGTTATCGTATCAGCATTGTCATACACTACGAACAGACCAATGTCTCAGCGGATTCCATTGCGGGTCAGGTGGAGTTTGTATTCTCCTGCTAAATCCATTCATGGTATGGGTGCACAGTGTGACAGGAAAATGTAGCACCTGCTCTGCCATGGGCACACTGCTGCTGGACAATTGCTTCCACTGTTTCTTATATTCTTATGTTTAAAATATTTCTCGATATTTGATGACATTGTTATCCTGATGTGCCCTTCTTGTATTCAGGCGATAAAGGCGATCGTAAAGCCCAGCGCCCAGCAACCCTACTACCTAGTCACTACATTACTGTACAACAGCAGCAGCAGACTAATGCCAGCCCTCCATCTCACTCGGTTTCTAGCATCGCAACACCAGTGCACGCAGAGCAGCCCGCACCGCCTGTGCAGCCTGTACAACCGGTACCCAACATAACCATTGCTCCACCTGCTCCACCTGCTGCATCGGCAATGATTGTACAGGCACCCACAGTGAGCAATACAGCGATGTTTAGCCCGGCCACAGTGAGGATGCCGTTCCAAGTAGTGCACCAATTCCCAGCAGCACAGCCAGCAGCAGTGGCAGCAGCAGCAGCGCCAATGTACAAGGATCCTTCTACACTGTCGCTGGCCCAAGCATCCGGCTCAGCAAGGTTCCTTCCCAGCAGTCATGTGACAGTTCCGAGATTGCAGCCTCTCCATGTGATTAGCGTGATTCCCACTGCCTCACCGATGCATATCCCAGCCAGCACGATACCATATCCGCCTCAGCATGCAATGCAACTGGCACCCGTACAGGCAGTACAAACAGTTCAGCCAGCTCAGCAAGCAGCAGCAGCTGTAGCACTACCACAACTGCAGCAGCAGCAGCAGCCGCCGCAGATCATGGTATTGCAATACACACCCACCACATCACCCAACCATCCGGACACTGCTGCGGCCGTATCTGTGGGCCATGGATCCACTGCATCCACTGCCCAATCATCGCCACAGTATCCAGTTGTTACGAGTACCACACAGTATAGATCAGCTGACGGTCAGCTGTATCCCATTGCCATTGTGCCTGCTCCTCAGCAAGGTATCCCAGTGACCACCATCACACATGACACCTAACTTAAATACAACGTCCGCTCCAATACAGGCTTACAGCCCTGAATAAATTCAATGGAATAGGAGATGAGTTTTTTCGCCAGCACTGAGCAATGTGCACTGAACACCAGCCGCAGACCGTCTAATTTAAAATAGCCCTGTTGTTTACAATAGCCCTGTTGTTTGAAACACCATATGTGTACTTTAGGTTGTTTTGTGATCCTGAACAAACCGTCTTTTTCATGTCCTCGCATTTTTAAAGTGAACAATTTTGATCTAATGTGGAATCCTGCACTTGTTGACAAGTCACGGCACACATTGGTGTATGCTAATAATAATCCAACGTCATCACTATTTGGCTGTGCAAGTTGGACTGAGGGCCATGTGCGGCGGGAGTGTAACTTACTGACATCTTGACAATAATATTGATAACCCTTCACTACTTTTTCACTACTTTTCTTGTTATTTCCTGTAATGTATGATTCACTGTGGTATGGTACGTGCTCATTGTTTAATAATGCAATCATAGCCACTGTTCAATGAGCTGATTGCTCTTGTACTCCTATTTTTAGTTTGCGGTAATTTATGACCATGAGCTTTACCACGGACGTGTTGTTATGCACATACTTCCTTCACTCTTTGAGAAATCCTCTACGAAATTTCACCAAAGACGTTTTCAAGGACAAAGGAGAAGTGAGTTCATCTTAGCAAATGTTGCCATGACTCACAATTTAACTCGGATACTGAGCCAATAAATATAATTAAAATAGACGAAATCACAGGGAAACGAGTTATGAAGCAACTATCCACGACCGTTACAAGATAATAAGCAGTCTGGTCGTTGAATCGGTCTCAGTAAAATGTCAGTTTTGTGCCCCGTTATCGCACTCTCCGAAGGCTGACTGCTTATTATCTTGTTACAGTCGTGGATAGTTGCTTCATAACTCGTTTCCATGTGATTTCGTCTATTTGAATGACTCACAATGCACATATTTCCCCTAATTTGACAAAGTTGTGTTTCCTGAACATTCAATGGGGAATTTCAAAGGATATTTTGGTCAAACTATTGACTGACTTGAGAGAAAAAATAATATTGCACCATTCAAACATGATAGTCACGGTATGCAGGCATTCAGCCTTTCAGGGTGGCACTGCAATCTCCACAAGAAGTTCAATTATATTTTCTTAACAATACATGTCACGTGACGTTTTCACTTGTACAGTGTAGGTTGTAATTTCAATGGAGTCCAGTCCAATATTTGATGTTCTTCTATCTTGCGGGATATACATGTACATGTACGTGTACTTGTTTAGAAGTTATTAGAACCATCATAGGGAATTCTAGTTGTGAAGGTTACCACCGATACAATGTGATCAATAGTTTCCCCTGAGGAACGCACAATGTCATGCAGCAGCCATTCGAGTTCTTCTGCCGCCCCCCCCCCCCCCCCTCCCTCCCACCCCAGCCTTACCGGTGGCAAAACATACTTCAAAACATGTCCATATAATTCAGTTCAAGATTTTTTTAAAGAGCAAACTTCGTAAGGCAGGGAAGATGTTGCCTTTGGAATACAATGGGTTTCAACTTGAAGTGAATTGTATGTCGCTGGGATCTATGGGAGAGCATAACCACTTCCATAAAAGATTATGATGATTTTATCACTTGCTTTGAGTACTCGCCGAAACATCAATCAGTTGATTGCAGGAAACTGAATATGACATAATAGTACGTCGTGGCTGATACATGGTAGCTATTCTGGTATTCCGGGATCGTTGCATACGAAGCCTCAAGTACAAGTAGATGGACACTAATTGCGTCAGGCACTGTGAGGGCACTACGAGATCTCCGTAGTGTAATGGGTTCATTTCATGCACAGATAACAATAAGGCATTGTTCTGCAGCTGCACGGCTCACTTTAGCCACTTGCATAGCCCATAGTGTACTGGTGCAGCCTTTCCACCCACTTTCCCCTTCTGCATATCAGAAGTGCGGGTGCTCTCGTTTTGCAGCCCACTACTGGCACTACTACTAGTACTACTCGTACATTGTCATGATTGTCACATGTAGCATTTTGAAAAATCAAGGCGAGTGTCCAAACCCTGGGCCACGGGGGATACAGTGCAGTCTTGGGCATTCAGTCATAAGTGTCAGTATACGGGTACATGTACATGACGGTTCACATGGCTTGTTTCGTATACAATCATGTACATGTAGCTGTATGACTGACATAATTATTAAAGGGGAAGTTAAGGCAAAAATTAAAATTTCACCAGTTGTAGTCTTCGGGGTGCTGAGTCGAATGGTCTTGGTCCGAGAAAGCTGAGACGCTCCCTTCCTACTTGAATCCCAATCGAACTCGCGCACTTCCACCGAAACTGGGTGACTGCGCCCTACTACAGTGGTGGCCAAAAGTTTTGACCCACCCCATGGAATCGTCAGTACAGCCCAGTCTGGCTCCTAAACACGCCGTTTTTGACTTCTTTGAGGCCAAAGCCGATTGAAACTTGGCAAGGACACCAAAATTTGCAAGAATCCGTTGTCAACTGAGATTTGTGATGGATCACCATACATTTGGGTGGGTCAAAACTTATGGCCACGTGACCAAATTTTGCTCTACCGTACCGTACGGTTTCAAAAAAGTTGTCAGGCTGATGCACGTGCCGGGAAAGTTGAAAATCAACACTTGACTTCTCACTTCGAGAGTTTGCGATATCAAACTTGATTATTTTGACGACGGAGATGGTATTTTCAGCCAATTTAGTGAACCGAGGTCAGATTAGCAAGGATGTGAGGGAAATGGTCGTGAAGCTGAGTGTTGACGGTCTCTTTTGGCGTGGTATCGCTCCTCTGTTGGATTTGAGTAATCCTACGATACGTAGAATTGTCAGGAAACAAAAATTGACTACATTTCACCACGATCAGACCGACCAAGAGAGACCAGTGCAAGACAAGATCGCCACCATATCATGAAGTCAATGGCGAATCGCCTCAAATCCGTCACTGCCTGCGAGCTGAGATGGTGAGCGACGGTGATAACGCGATTTCTGTGCGTTCTGTGAGACGCAAGTTGCAGAGAGCAGGCCTACGTGGCTGTATGGCCATCAAATGGCCCTTCATCAGTGCTGTGAATAGGGCGAAACGCCTTAAATTTGTATAGACGCACAAGGACTGGAGCAGTGATGACTGGTGGTAATTTCTGTGGACTGATGAGTCTAAAATCAACCTCAAGGGCTCTGGTGATGCAGTTTACGTCAGGAGGTGGACAGGATAGGCTCTGGCTGGCACATGCACCCGCAAAACTGTGAAGCGCCGCGACGGCAATATCAATGTATGGGAGCCATGGCCAGCAACGGCGTAGCGCGCATTTGCCGGGTGATGGATACGATGAATGTGGACCAGTACCTCGCATCATCCGAAAACATGTTGTTGCTGAGCATGATGCAGCTTGTGGGTGGTGCGGGTGGTGTCTTATGGCCGCAAACGCTCCGCAAACAGAACGGAGGCGCGGCGGACGGTGAACGGCATCACCGTCCTGACATGGCCCCTGCAGCCACCTGACCTCAATCCAACTGAGAATCTCTGCAAAATTGCTGGGCTGAAGCAGCACGATGTCGAAATCACCCCCAGAAACCAGTATGAGCTGTGGCGAGTGTGCCGGGAGGCATAGAAGTTGATTTCTCCTCACGAGCGCAAGAAGATCGTCGATTCAATGCGGCAGTGTATGCAAGCGATCATCAAGGCCAAGGGAGGGGTTACAAAGTGGTGGATGTATCTGGAATAGGCCGGGACTGACTTCTAGACTTTAGTTTAGTTGAATACTTTTTAGAAATCACACTATTTCGTGTATCCTGTTGGCGGTTTATGATAGTGCGGGCGTTGGCCATAAGTTTTGACCCACCTTTTACATATACTTGACCACAGTAGTCCCCAGATGACTCCGTGTTTCAGCATTTTTCATTTCTACTTCACTATTCAGCCTGATTCAGAGGTCCTCAACCAAAAATTTAGTAGCTTACAGCCCAAACCTTCAGAATTCGAAAAATCTGCATGGTGGGTCAAAACTTTTGACCACCACTGTAGATGGGGATTTGTATGCAAAATGTCACTAAAAGCGCCATTTCGTTCTTATAAAAGCACGGATGACCGCGATTGGCCCATATGTTGTACTCTTTTGGACGCTGAGTCGACTGGTTTTGGTCCGAAAAGGCTGCGATGCAGCATTCCTCCTTTATTCCCAATCGAACATGGTTGAAGAAGCGGTCACGTGCTCCTGGGTGCCCAAATCACCTGGTCACCACGCCAGCAGGCGACAACTTTCACACCAAGGTTCAACTCGAGTGACAGGACTGCACCCAAAAAAGGTCAAACAGGCTACAGTCCGTTTCAAAAAGATATTATAGCAATAAAAACTGCTTTATGGCAGTTTTCTAAAAAAAGTTATTGTGTTCTAGTCCATGGACCCCGTCTAAAAAGTAAGAAATTAACGAAATGTGATAGCCGAAAATTAAAATTTCACACAAAACCTCACAATAATCACAACACTTGAAATGCTGCTTTCAACACTAAGCTTGTACTGCACCAACAATTGGCAACATGCATGCATAGGAAAGAGGATCACGAGGGGAAAAGGTCTTCTACATGTAAATGTAGCTTTTCATTCTGTGTGTGATTATTGTGAGGTTTTGTGTGAAATTTTAATTTTCGGCTATCACATTTCGTTAATTTCTTACTTTTTAGACGGGGTCCATGGACTAGAACACAATAACTTTTTTTAGAAAACTGCCATAAAGCAGTTTTTATTGCTATAATTTCTTTGGTTTTTTCTGTCACCAATCAATGGAATGCCCTATATCAATATGTACTAGTAAATGATGGCCTTCACATCATATCAATACCGTATTATCAAGAGTACATACTTATGTACTCTTGGTATTATACGCATTGATGTGCAAGCCTTTTCTTGCAGAAAATGGCACTAGCATAATGCAATTGCATGTTGGAGTAGTGGTCTGGTGGTGGTGATACTTTTTTTATACAGAGGTCATTCTGTGCATGTTGCAGCTTGCTGTTGCAGAATTTCATGACTCTGTCATAAAATTGTCTTGCCTTTCAGATATTTCAGATTTCCCCACCCTCGATCAGATTTATTTGAGAAATGTAGGCAGGTGCGTGTCGCAGATGTTTTTGTTGATTCTGTGTTTATAATGGTTTATAATCATGGGTTATCGTGATAAGGTCATCCTGCATCATATTGCACTGAATTGGTAATCCTGTTGATGTCGATACAACTTTTTGAAGTAGTTCAATGACTTCAAACTGTTAGTCCACGATTTTCTAAAACAACACAGCAAAGGAGGAACAATAAACATGTCTTAACATATAAACAAATACATTGCTGAGTCCGACACCTCGTTCCAACAACTACACTGATCCTGAAGATAAAAGGGGCAAGGCTATGGTTGGAGGTACTGAGAGATAAACAAGGCACTCCACAATAATAAAATCTTACACATCTTTTGGTGAGTATGAATGATATCCAGTCGAACCTCTTTAGGATGAACACCAAGGGACCGATGGTATTTATTCTGTGAGTTTGTCTGAACCTATTTTATAACCAGTGAATACAATTATTTCTCCAATAGAAATACGAATAGACTTCTTCTACAGCGAAAGATTCTAAGCCACACCGACTCATTGACTCGTCTCGTATGAAACAAATGAGTCACTGAACCTTTCTTTAGCAACATGACGACAACTGAAACAGCAACAGAGAAAGTACGATACATGTACTCCACATTCTTGCAGGTACTACAAACAGATTGCAGATCGTAATTCTTGCTTTGGCGGCACGAAACTGTATTTGGGGCAGTGCAATCTCGGCGGTACTCACAAATCAAAAAGCCCAGACTCTGGAGATTTTCCCTGATATGCGAATTTATTTTGCAAACTCGGTCAATGGGTCCTTGAACCTTTCCCTCCAGATTGGGAACTGCCAACGATAGTATGCCACTGACCACTGCCTTCCTTGTAACGTACTAATGTACAATGAATATGAGTAGTTCGACAACACATCTAACATAAGCCTTACCGTCAAGAAGGTGAACTCGCGTTCTTCGCACACTGTAGACAAGGGCAAAGAGATAAAAATGGATCTAAATCCGAATAAGATCAGCACACGTTTCCGTAAAATTTAATGAAAGGGTGAGCACAAGCAAATGAATCGATCGAAGGAAACCGGTCAACTCAGAGATCACCTGTCATCGAGTATTCCGTAAAAGGAGGCCTCGGCAGCGGAAAAGCTAAGTTTAGAAAAGAGATCCTGTCAGCTTTTCCATTATTTATTGCATTCCGCCCAAAATCAGCACACTTTTCGTGAATGAAAGAGTCAACACAAGCAAATGAATCAGAGGGAACTGGTCATCTCACCTGTCATTGAGTAATTTTCCGCGAAAGGAGGTCGCAGCAGCGCCGAAACGAAATAGGCCAGGTCAGGAGACGAAATATCCGAAACAGGTCATGCAAGAAGCAGTTCCAAAGAAGGAAGTTCCTCGTGCATGCACATCCGAAAAGGCAACAACAAAAAGTCTGCAATACACACGCATGCATATGCGGCCAGCCGGCCGCGCGATAGGAGCCATGGACTAGCTCCGGCAGCTCCCTGGTCCAGGGCCAGGTACCGAGCATCTTACGTAGAAACTTACGTAGCTATAGCTACGTAGACAACGTGTCTGAATAGCGGTGTCGTTAGATAGCGCCATGTGAACACAATAATAGAAAAGCTGACAGGATCGCTTTTCTAAATACAATGGGGCTGTTAAGTGTGACGTCACGGCTCCTTCGATACGCATAGCAACGGAGAGCACTGGGGACAAACAAAAGTCGCGTCCTCTGGATGGAACCAGATGTCAAGGGCAACAGCATCTAAATGACTGGAGAGACAGCAGTTTTTCTTTGCTTTTTCTTCAAGCGATTGTTGTCGCTCTTTACTCCTTGTTCTTTCCTCTACAAAACTCCTGTAGTCGTCGAGTGCCTTCATGATGGCTGTGAAATTGGCTGCCCACAGTAAAACTCCGTGTTTGAGAGTGCTTTGAAGATGTTTCGCGTCCTGATGGATCAAAGTATGAGCGCTCCTTGTGGATTCGAATATAATTATATAGGTGAGTTGTTCAAGAAATCAGTGTCTTCTTTCTGTCTCTGCCCTCACGCTGGCACAATATCAGCCTCTATATCCATGACAGCTCGCACCTCCCGTAAACTGCATGACTTAGATATATTTTCGCCCTCCGTGGTGATTGAAGACCCATGGAAGAATTTATTATGTTCAGTATGATGTCCTAAGAATATAAAATAAAATAATTCTAGGGAATTGTCATAGGGTATTTTTGGAAGGATGGAGACAGAGAGAGAGAGCACTGTTTGAAGTGTTTGTCTCACTGTAATTACTCCAGATTATTGAATGTTGTATGATCTACTCTATATTTTCCACAATGGTTTTTCCTGATTTGCGGGATCTCTTCTTTTGCTGTTTGGGTGTTTACAGGAAGTGGCTGTCTGGTGTAACTGCACCAGATCCTGGGGAAATTAAGACAGATGCAGAGGCAGGGTCGTCCAGTGATGCAACACTGCCGTTCTGTGTGCAGCGTTTCCGCTAATATCCCCGGCGAAAACACAAAAAAGACGAACACGTGAAAAGACTACAGTATTGACCGTTCTACTAATAAATGCATGACTGCTCCGACAGTCGATAATCGAAACACAGAGCACCAGCATGATGTTTTCATATTGGGAACCACACAACAGCTCAATTCTCAAGCCCAAAAATTGATGAATACAAATACAGAGCGACGCAACAAGAGATCATCCGGCAACCAAACAAACCTGGGTCTAATGCACTGAATAGTCCTGAAATACGCAGGCCAGACAAAGCAGTGCAAGCACATAATGTTACAAGGTACATGCATTGCAGAACAAAGTGTAACCAAAGATACACAGGGTTATAGCTGCACACTTGTGCATGTGCTCGCTCAGCCCAAGAACACACGATCATGATGATAGAAACAATCCGGGGGAAACACGCTAACACCGAAGTAAGCATCAACACGTAAATAGTGCAGCCCTGAAAAAATTACATTGACATGTACATTGGTGTGTCGAGTAGTGTCAGGCTTGAATAATCATCCAACCAAGACTTCATCAGGTCCCAGACGCTGAGATCGCACGCCGAATGTGAAGTGCATCTAGCCTTGAACCTGTCGCACAAGGCACACATATATGGCAAAATGACATCCACTCTGATTATTTCCAGAGGCCAATCATAACAGAACACAGAAATGAAACCACGGGCTCAACCAAGTAAACCCAAAGTTAGTCAAAATAATCCATGCAGTGCTCTTTTAATTGCAGCGCTGATTGCAGTGTTGCGTCATAGCCCGATACCCGCTGAGCACAGACACAACCCCATTCGTCAGGGGCAAAACATACTCTTTTGGAATAAAGTCATAAAGTACAGCGTTACAATGACATTACGGACACCTCGTGCAAATGCAGGGTCTGTTCATCTGGCCGACTCGGCCACGCATGAGAGTGTGTGCATGTACATGCGCGCGCGCACACACACACCATGAATTCGGTGCGTATGGTGTACCAGTTGCGGGACAATGAAGATGGAATCATTATCATGATGTTACATGTACATCTACAGTGTATGTTTGAGTGTAAAGTAAATTTTATTTTATTGCACATTTCTTCGACACAACTAATTACTTATTTCACATGTTCGCATTTCTCATAATCGATCCACCTGCACTCCGTATCAGTCGAGGAAAAATTCTCCCAGATATACACTAGTCACCACAGCTATGTGATGACATTGGGATGGGCCCCAAGCACGATTGCACTCTCTAGTTACAATAAATTTGGCCAAATTATCTGTGAAGACAAAATGCAATGCATAGCGGCAATCGATGGATGAAGAGAGAGTATATCTTTCCACTTGTTCAGGAGCTTACCTTTTGGAGTTCACATCGTTTACACAATCTCTCATGCTGTCTTGCACCTTGGTTTTGTTGACCATGGATACGCCATCCCAGAAAACATTCTACAGGAGCTACTAATGCAGAGCGTTTTTCACGCTCGATCTCGGCGATCTACCTTGTCACGCCAATAAAATCCTCCGTGACACTGGCTACAGTCACAAGAGACGTCTCAGTAAGGTAATGAGCACGACAACATCGTCGAGATCAAGGACAAAGAGAAAACAAAACACTCACTGAAAACAGCAAAGAAGAAACGAAGAAATGTACACGATTCCTACATGTATATGTTGCCACTGACAACTGGTTCGGTGGAGACGACGCTACTTTTGTTTGTCCCCAGTGGGATCGTTGTTATGCGTATCGAAGGAACTGTGACGTCATCACTTAACAGCCCCATCCTAGATCCTGGCGATCGCTCGTTTGGCGTCTTACCGTATGGGCACTCGACTCGAGCGCTGCCTAGCGCCTGGAAAAACTCACTGTGAACTCGAAGAAATATTCCGCGCGAAAGCAGGAAAAATGACAACTCACTCACGTTGACACAGTCATGTACGTCTGGTTTACAACAAACGAGTTCTTCCTCGTATCGAGTCAGAGGACATGTCGAAACGAAAGTGTTGTAAATGTTGACGAGCTGCATGGGTCCGTTTTGTGACCAAAATAGTTTCTTTGAGCTGCGATGCAATCTCCATTTTAGCTTGCCGTGGTTGGCTATCACCTGACCTCTTATGTTTATTGGCAGTCTTCGGACGGGCCAGGAGATGTTGAATAAATAAATAAATAAATAAATAAATTTACTCACCGTGTGACGAAAACGACATCGACACGGACTCATTCCCAAGGCCATGACTTGGCAAAGCTATCCGTGTGACTTCGACGACATTTTGAGAAAAGCAGACGCTTGTGAACGCTGATAGAAGACGGCGTTGACTGCTAAATTCAAATAAATTGGCGATCTTGAAATACTAAAATAAATCTCAAAAAGCTACAGCGCGATGACTTCCATTATAATTCACTCACACCATTGCAGTGTTGTGGGTGTGTTCACATGGCGTGAGCCAGTCAAGTGTCAGTCAGTTCGGCAGGAAGCGCGAGCTGCAACAACAAGTCGTTTGGTGCAGCCATCTATTCTTCTTTGTCTTGTACCAGCTTGATCACCAAAACAATGAAAAAAAGTTTGACTTGAGGATAGGTTGGGATTTGAACTCACAACTTCATGGTCAGCAGACAGCATTCATAACCACAAGGCCAAAAAGGAAAGGATAAATCGTGGGTTTTGATAAAAAATCGATACTGGCTTCCTGGGCAAATTGTAAACCATGGGAAAAGGCCGGAAACCTGGCCGAAATTCTAACTCCTTAACGGTTGGTCCTATTGTTCCGAAACCTTCACAGAACAATTTGCCGTGTCCTAACAAGCCATTCTATGTACTTTGTTGTCCAAATTTCCCTTATCTTCATACTTTTTTAAGACCCAAACCTGATTGTAAATCTTTTTGAAACAGAGAGAGAGTAAGTTAGTTGTACCCTGCAGTGCAGCACTGCAGGCACGGTGACCAGGTGACTGGCGTACGCAGGAGCACGTGACCGCTTGTTCAACCATGTTCGATAGGGCATAAAGGAGGAACGCTGCATCGCAGCCTTTTCGGACCAAAACCAGACGACTCAGCGTCCAAAAGACTACAACATATGGGCCAATCGTGGTCATCCGTGCTTTTATAAGAACGAAATGGCGCTTTTAGTGACATTTTGCATACAAATCCCCATCTAGTAGGGCGCAGTCACCCAGTTTCGGTGGAAGTGCGCGAGTTCGATTGGTATTCAAGTAGGAAGGGAGCGTCTCAGCTTCCTCGGACCACGACCATTCGACTCAGCACCCCGAAGACTACAACTGGTGAAATTTTAATTTTTGCCTTAACTTCCCCTTTAATAATTACACACGAGTCACAGAGTAGATCTACCACGCAATAAATAATTACATGTACATGTACATGTATCATCAAGAGTACATAAACCAGAGTGTGCAACTCGGGATGGTTCCTGTGGGAGCGTAATTCGTGCACTACGTCATTTCTGACGGGGTTATGGATCTAATGCCTTCTTCTCGGTTCTCTCTGCGCACCAACGGCATCAGCTTTCGGTCCTCGACAAGCGATGATCCGCTGCGTTGCCAACCAGCCATTCCCCTCCCACACAGATCCCATCTACACCCGTCTAGGCCTCATCCCCATCATCCAAAACGCCCACTGTAAACTCCGCCTCCTCATGCTTCGTATCCACACCGCCAGAATTAGTGATCTCCTGTCCAAGCGCCTACGTCGCCAGACTGAAGGCGTCACTCGGATCAACGATCCAAATGCGTATGTTGTCCCTGCCACCAGGCGAGTCTCTGCCGCTCGTTTCTGCTGTTAAATTATGGAACGCCCTGCCCCAAGAGTTCAAGTCCCTCGCCTGCCATAGATCATTCAAGAGACTTTTAAAGGTTTATTTTTATGGTTAGCCAGCATCTAGGCTTGGACTTGGAGTCGTGACTCAACTGTGACTCAACTGTGCTTTCTTCTTCTTTCTTTTTCTTTTTTTCCCTTTCTCTTTTTCTTTTTGAGTATTTGCAGTCTGTGTTTTCTGTGTTTTTCTCTCTTTCGTGGAGGCTTGCTTGTTGTACCCTTGGCTCTCGGCCGTTACTTTA